AAGTGGAGAGAAACCGGGAGGAGCTGGCCCAGGGCAGGATGCAGGGGGGGTGAGAGGGGGGGTTGGGCGGGGGGGGGTGGTCTGAACTCGCAGGGACACTGTTCCTGCTTTCCCGGGCCACGCTGTCCCCTCAAAAGCCTGTTGTCAGGAACAGAGTGTGAGCCGAGATCACAGATCTAGTCCGTTGAGGGCATGTTCCCCGAGGGCGGGCCGGGCCCTGGGAGGGACCGGCGTCACCAGCCTGGTGTCCAGCAGAGCCGTATGTTTTGGTGCAGAAGAAGTCTCAGGCACACAGCAGCGCAGGTCTTTGGAGCTAGGGGGGAAAAGATAAAATCACTGTCTGCTCCCCGACGGTCATGGTGAGCTGCCACACTGGGCAGGGGTCCCTGGGGAATTCTTCTTAAGCCGTGGCCAGAAGACACCCCAGGAGGTCCGTGGGAAAGCCGGGCCCTGCGGTACTAGAGGGGAGAACGTTAGTCTTTCTTAGCCCCCCGTCAGAAAGGTCGGGCCATGTCCTCCCCTGCCATGGCCGGCGGCACAGGTCACATCTCGAAACCCACCTCAATGCCCTTTGACTTCCCACCTGTGTCCCTTGTCAGAATAAGAGCTTTCTCTCTCACTGTGTGAGTGAACCCTTGTTTTCTTTTTTAAAAATATAATTTTAGTATTGATTTCAGGGAGGAAGGGAGAGGGAGAGAGAGATAGAAACATGAATGATGAGAGAGAATCATGGATCGGCTGCCTCCTGCACGCCCCACACTGGGGATCGAGCCTGCAGCCCGGGCCTGTGCCCCGACCGGGAATCCAACCGTGACCTCCTGGTTCACAAGTTGATGCTCAACCCCTGAGCCCCGCCAGCTGGGCCCCCTTTTCCTTTTGCTTTATATGTTCTCTCTCCTCTTCCTAACGGCCGGGGCGGGGAGGAGCTGTCCCTCCGTGGAGTGCCTTCCCCAGCGTTACTCCATCATCTGTGCAGAGCCTGCTGCTTCCCCCATTGCCATACATAGCGCTGCCGGCTGGTCCTTCCTCAGGCCGCTCTGCTCAGGAGGAGGGCTTTGGCTTTTTCACTCTCCCCAGCGTTCCTGGGATACAAGCCCGGCCGGATACGCAGGACCGTCCCTGAACATAGACTCCTAAGACCAAGCAAGTGTGACGTCGGCAGCCAAGTTCACAGGTTGTCACAGGAAAGCTAACTGGGACGAAAGGACACTCCTGCATGCGGGAGTTCTCACAGGAGAGCATTTATTTTTATTTATTTATTTTTTAAATATATTTTATTGATTTTTTACAGAGAGGAAGGGAGAGAGATAGAGAGTTAGAAACATCCATGGGAGAGAAACATCGATCAGCTGCCTCCTGCACACCCCCCACTGGGGATGTGCCCGCAACCAAGGTACATGCCCTTGACCGGAATCGAACCTGGGACCCTTCAGTCCACAGGCCGACGCTCTATCCACTGAGCCAAACCAGTCAGGGCACACAGGAGAGCTTTTAGCCGCCGGACGCTTCTTCCTAAAATAAAGCAGAAGAACAAAACAGCGTCACGGCAAGCTGGACGCCAGAACCGGCCTGCGGGGAGTGGAGTCCTGGCCTTGGGCCTTACTCGCCCAGGGACCCTCGATAAGTTATATAGTCTCTCCACGCCCTCGAGTGCTCATCCATAAGATGGAGGCGGTGAATAATGCTTCCATGGGAAGCTGGAAATGACGAGTCTTGTGCTCATGTGAATCTCTGAGAAGGGTTAGAACTTGTAACTTTCAGCTGATTTTTCGGACCAGGAATGAACTCCCCCTCCCCCTTCTCCCACACCCCCGGCAAAACAAACAAAAGACCCACAAAAAAAACCACCAAAAAAAAAAACACAACCAATCCACAGCACTTATCCTGCTGAACCTAGTTTTGGGGCATCTAATTATTGCTTGTGCTTCAAGATTCATTTCTAAAAACTCCATTATTTCAATGTCCCAAGGAGCATTTAAATGTGATCACGTTGCTTCTTTATTGTTGATAAAGACCTGGGGAAATTAATTCGAACAAGTGTTGTCGAGGAGCCGGAACGCAAGCTAGCAGCCTGCACACTTTTGTTAATGACAGAGCTTTCATTAATGACGAGCTGGCTCTTCGGGGGATGGGCGGGTCCGTGAGAGCGGCCCTGGCCTGCGGCAGGTTCATGAACACGGAGACGGTGACCTTACGTCTTAAAATTAAAGGCTGCACGTACGCACGATGAGTCGGTATTACGGGCCCTTTAGCTCCTCTTTCCCGTAGCTTATGGTCACGACATTTATGTGCATGGTTGGGCAAAAGAAGAAGAATCATGTAAAGTTTAATGAGCGGCACTTATCTTAATTAGGGGAGAAGTTTTTAAATCGTTTCCACAAGCTTCTCATCGTGACAGGAAAGAAAAACGATTGCCTCCCGCTTATAAATCCGGGCTTTGTTGTGGGACGGACTACGCTTTCTTTCTCTGTATCCTCATGTCGCCCCACCCCACTCTTACCTCCCCCCCCACACACACAAGATTAGTGTCAGGACTTCCCACTATCTCAGCTTCTGTTTTTTTTCTACAAAGATATGTCCTTTATTTTTATTTATTAACTAGAGGCCGGTTGCACGAATTCATGCATGGGTGGGGTCCAGCCAGCCTGCCCTGATCGGGGCTAATTGGGCCGGGCCGGCCGGGGAGGGGCCGTGGGTGGTTGGAGGGCTGGCCCAGGGGGGGCTGATCAGGGGTGGGGGCTGGCCCAGGGGGAGAGGCCCCAGGCAGTTGGCTAGCTGGTTCCCACCCCCTGGTTGAACTCCTGGTCGAACTACAGGTCGAGGGGACAATTTGCATATTAGCCTTTTATTATATAGGATGTTATTGGGGTGACGTTGGTCAACAGGAACATATAGGTTGCATGTGTGGGTTTCCAAGTTACAAATCTGGCAGTGAACTCCGTGGGTCCTTCCAGCGGTTCGCGATGGCGTTGTTTCTGTCATCACTCTTGGACAGGGGATGACGCCGAGGCAAAGAGAAGGTCTGACCTTGGTGAAGGTCGTTCAGCAAGTCTGAGGCAAAGCCAAGACGCAGCCCCCCCTCCAGGCTCCGGACTTCCCACCCCCCGCTGCCTGGAGGGACAGGTGTGCTGAGCACCCAGCCAGGTGCCACTGCTCTGCCCGCACTCTCTCCTGGGCCTGGAGGGTCACTCCTGACCCCCTGCCTGCATGGGGCTGCAGGAGACGGTCCCGTTCTGCAGGGGTGTGGCAGGGAGGACACCACAGCCCTGGCTGGGGGCTCAGCTGGTGGAGCTCATCCCATGCACCTGGAGGTGGCAGGTTTGATTCCTGGTCAGCGCACGTACCTAGGTCGCAGGTTTGATCCCTACGGGGGCTTGTGGGGAAGGTGGCTGATGGATGTTTCTCTCTCCCATTGATGTTTCTCTCTTTCCCCACTTCTCTCCCTAAAATCAATCAATCAGCCCTGGCCGGTTTGGCTCAGTGGATAGAGCGTCAGCCTGTGGACTGAAGGGTCCCAGGTTCGATTCTGGTCAAGGACACATGCATGGGTTACAGGCTCAATCCCCAGTAGGGGGTGTGCAGGAGGCAGCCAATCCATGATTCTCTCTCATCATTGATATTTCTCTCTCCCTCTCCCTCTCCCCTCCTCTCTGAAATCAATTTTTAAAAAATTTTAACAAAGGGGTCACCATGGCTCTTTTCCATCCTGGGTTCTCTCACAGCAGGTGGCCCAGGAATGGGGAAGGTCCCCGTGAGCGCTCTGTGCCCCATCCCTCCCCCTTAGAACTGTGGGTGCCGGGGCTGTGGCTAAGCCTCAGGGGGGACCTGGGCTCACCTGGCTAACCCTGGGAGTCAAGGACAAGCTCACAGCTCGGGCAGAGGCTGTGGTCAACACAGGCCTGAACTTGAATTCCGAGTCTGCGGTTCTGGAGACTCGCTCTCATCTCTATGGCAGAATCAAACTTAACAAGACACATCACGTAAAAAACATGGAATGCAGTCACACACCAAGCATGAGTGAGCACCTCCTGAGAGCCCAGGTCCTGGGTATATTTTATTTTATTTTTGTTAAATAACTAGAGGCTGGTGCACGAATTCGTGCACAGGTGGGATCTGGCTGAGGGGAGGAGGGGAGAAGGGAATGCAGGAGGTTGGCTGGCCGGCCCCGCCCCCCGATCGAGGGGACAATTTGCATATTAGGCTTTTATTATATAGGATTTTAATGTTGATACTATTGCACGTGCCCCCTTTCTCCCCTCCTTTGCCCACCTGCTCCCCCCTCTCCTGGCCCTCACCACACTATTGTCCGTGTCCGTGGGGTGTGCATGTGTGATCTTTAGCGAATCCCTTTGCTTTCTTTATCCAGTCATCCCAGCCCCTCCCCTCGGGCACCGGCCAGTCAGTGCCAGGTACCCATGCTTCCCGTTCCACTCTGTTCATCAGTGTATATTGTCCATTAGATTCCACATATGAGTGAGGTCATGTGACACTTGTCTTTCTCTGACTGGCTTATTTCACTCAGCATCATACTCTCCAGGTCCCTCCATGCTGTCCCAAAGGGTAAGAGATCCTTCTTTTTTCCTGCTGCATAGTATTCCGCGGTGTAAACGTACCACAGCTTTTTTACCCACTCACCTGCTGATGGGCACTTGGGCTGTTTCCAGATCTTGGCTATTGTACATAACACTGCTATGGACATAGGGGTGCATGCGTCCTTTCTGACTGGTGTTCTTATGATAGGCCCAGCATTTTTAATGGTCTTTCATGAGACAAAACTGTTCTAGTCCACTCGTATTCGTAACTTACCCGTTTCAGACTCCCTTGGATTGAGAGAAATGTGGGTTATCCACGCAGGGACGCCGCTATCATAGCAGGGCTGTGTTGAGCCGCCACTGAGATTGTTGCTACTCGGGGAAGCGCCTCTGTTGCTTTTTAAATAAAATTTTCTGCTTCATGTTGGTGAGAGTCTAATGTTCTTTAACCTTTTGTTTTGTTGCAAGATAATAGTTGGAGAGACCGCGGTGTTTTGCCTACAACTAGCCACAAGGGATTTTGAAAACCAGGAGAAAACGATTTTAACCGGAGACTGTTGCTACATAAACCCACTGGTGCGGAGGACTGTGCGGTTTCTCGGTACGTGTTCACGGAATTGTTTTAATTCTGTTTTAAAAATAAGCCTGGTGCCCTGGCCGGCGGCTCGGTGGGTCGGAGCGGTGTCCCACGCACCAGAAACTGGCCGGTTCGATCCTGGTGAGGGTCCATACGGGAGGCAACCAATCAATGTTTCTCTCTCTCTCTCTCTCTCTCTCTCTCTCTCTCTCTCTCCAACCAACTGACCCACCTAGCCAGGGCAAAAGATAAGTTTTGACAACAATGGCCAATGTTACTGCATTTAGAAAATGTTTTTGGTATTTGAGTAAACTGACAAGGGAGAGAAAATAAAATCCATGTACTTATTTTATACCTTTAGGTAACCAGAGAAAGTAAAGTTTAATCCTGTGAAGATAATTGAAAAACTTATCATTTTGATCGCTTTATTGTTTACTAAATTGCCCCAATTGTGATAATTAAAATGTAATTCATAAAAGAGAAGGTAGGACTAAGCTGTTATGCGGCTTTAAAAATGTGTTTCCGAAAGCAGTGTGTTGCATGGTATGTAACCGGAGACAGATGGCCTGGGTTCGACCGCTAACTGGCCCCTCCACCAGCGTTAACCTCAGGCTGAGTGGGTTTCAGGGGCACCATCCAAGGGAGACCACTTGCTTTGCTTTCTGTCAGAAAAGATAAAAAATATTTTTGCCCAGTGTGGCTGAGTGGTTGAGTGTCGACCTGTGAACCAGGAGGTCATGGTTCGATTCCTGGTCAGGGCACAGGTCCGGGTTGCGGGCTCAATCCCCAGTGTGGGGTGTGCAGGAGGCAGCCGATCCATGATTCTCTCTCATCATGGATGTTTCTCTCTCTTTCCCTCTCCCCTCCTCTCTGAAATCAATAAAAATATGTTTAAAAAATATTTTCAAAATGGGGACAAACACTGAGGTGATAGACTGAGGCCTCGCTAGGGAGCCCTGGCTCCATTTATAGAAATCGCAGCGCCCAACCACAGGCCTAGAGGGCGTCTTCTTGTCTGATAGGCCCGCCACGCGTATGCGCCCGAGGTGGCCAGCGGGGCTGTGAGCCAGTGCAGCACCCCCACCTCCAGGGAGCCGGGGGCAGGCAGGGGTGGATGCCTGTGTGCTGGTCCCTAGGATCTTCCCTTGTTGGCTCCCTGGGAACCGAGGCACGGACCCCGGGGCGCTCACGGGCTGCGCTTGCTTCTAGGCATCTACACGTTCGGCCTGTTCGCCACGGACATCTTCGTGAACGCCGGGCAGGTGGTGACGGGGAACCTGGCGCCCCACTTCCTGGCCCTGTGCCGGCCCAACTACACGGCGCTGGGCTGCCAGCAGCTCACGCAGTTCATCAGCGGCGAGGAGGCCTGCACGGGCGACCCCGAGCTCGTCCTCCGGGCCCGGAAGACCTTCCCGTCCAAGGAGGCGGCGCTCAGCGTCTACGCGGCCGTGTACCTGACGGTAAGTGTGGGCCTGACCACAGCCAGGCCCCGGTCCCCGCCGGGCAGGAGGGGCGCCTCCCCGCCAGCGCGGAGCCCCAGGGGCAGCTCCCGTGGCCACTTCCTGTGTGTTTACAGAGCTGTTGGTTCCGGGAGTAGAATTAATAGTCAGTGGACTCCCGTGAGGTTATGCGTGGGGAGCGGATTGTGTTAGAAAACACAGCCGCTTGCATTGCTATTGGAGACCGTGTTCGTCTCGTGGTCATAGGGCTGGATGGACATACTGTGTCCGGGGGCGGCCAGTCCCCAGGAACCTGTAGTAGCGCTGTGAAGAGAGGTGGCCGGCCTCCTAGCTGCTTACTCACGCCCTCATGGTCTCTGGTGGGGCGGGGAAAGGGGCCCTCCTTTTCTAGAACGTTCTCTTGGGGGTGTTTGTACCGATAACATGACATTGACTGAGCTTTTACTATGTGCCAGGCACCATGTGCTGCACTGTTGCTAATTTATGCGCTACTGGTTCTCACGTAGGCATCGTTACAACCTATTCTTCCTTTATTATTATTAGTTACGTAATAATCTGTCCTCTGTACTAACTCACTGGGCTCTCACAACAGCGCCTTGAAGCGTGTCCTATCATCACGCCCTTTACAGATGGGGATAAACCACAAACTGTCCCGACGTCAGTGATGATTCAGAATGTTCCAGAGAGGGGAGCACTACCTCCCAGAGCCCCCTGGGTGGGTGGTCAGGTGACCTTCCTCCTGCCCCCGCCGGTCCCAGGCTCCCTGAAGGGGGAGGCCCAGGGTTCAGAGGGCAGATACCTTCAGAGAAGAAGCATTTAGGAGCCCCAACACCCAGGACCCTTAAATAGCGTGGAGTCCACACGTCAGGGCTCCTGCCTGTAATTACACTGAGGGGAACCGCTGCCTTTTCAACAATCGGTGCTGTTCCGTGCTAACGGCTCTTCTCTCGGCCCGCCACCCTGAGCCATGGGCGTGTGGGAGGCTGCCATGGCAACCCGTCCGACTCCCGCTGCCAATGTGGGCATTACCGGCGGCTGTGCTGTTATATTTGAACCTACGTGCAGATATATTTCTTCCCAGCGTCCCTAGCGACAGCTTGGGGGAACTTTATAATAGACACATTGGGGTGTTTCAAGCATTTACGGTCTCAGAAAACGCTTGCCAGGAGTTTGATAAGTAGGTAAATAGCGGGGAGTTAGTAGATTCCGTGATGGCGGCGGGAACAGGCGTGCCCTGCGTTTAGGTAGTGCTGGCTCTGCTGCATGCGGTGCGGCGCTGTACACACACACACACATGCACACACGCGCGCGCACACACACACACACGCGCGCCTCGGGAGGAAGAAATGAGCCCTGTGCTGACGTGTGTGGGTAAGGACCGGGGGATGGTCTCCTGGTGTTTCTCCTTGTGGTTTAGTGAATAACATGAAGGAACTGGGTCTCTCCCTTAGCACCTGGCTTTCCTGAAGGGTTTGGGGATAATTTGATCGCAGGTTTATTCTCTTTTACTTTCCTGAGACTTTTAGGGGGAAAAAATCCCTATGCCTATTTCTGCAAATACAGTCGGTTTCCCAGGAGGGGAAAACATTCTGAAGGTCATTGAACCCTCCATCATTAAATTTGTAATTCAGTGTGAGTGGCATTAGAATACTATTTAAGTTTATCTTCGTGGTGTCTCTTTTCATATAAAATGGGTAAAGTTTATTCCCCGATTAGAGTAAAATGAACTTCAGCCCGGCCAGCGTGGCTCAGTGGTTGAGCACCAACCTATGAATCAGGAGGTCACGGTTCGATTCCCGGTCAAGGGCACCTGTCCAGGTTGTGGGGTTGATCCACAGTGTGGGGACGTGCAGGAGGCAGCTGATCCATGATTCTCTCTCACCATGGATGTTTCTATCTCTCTCTCCCTCTCCCTTCTCTCTGAAATCAATAAAAATATATTTACAAAGAAAAGGAAAAGGGGTGGATTGTACCTGGACGTCGCACAGGGCGCATCAGGAGGGCCCCTGAGAAGTGGGTGCCCAGACATTCCTGCCCAGCGCCCTGTCAGCCAGGTGGCGGAGGAGCTCAAACACCCAAGGTCATACAAATGGCCGTGACGGCTGGATTTTAATGGTACTCGGACTTTCAGTGAATCCATATTTTATTCCTTGACTCCTCATTTTTAATCTTACGTCCTGCACATCGTCGGCGATGTTAAAGAACTTTAAATGCTCTTAAAAGGACAGCTTCTAAGTTTCCCTGACCGCCCTGACAGCGTGCAGTGACTGGCACATGGTCACCCGGCCAGCGTGGCCGTGCTCTGCCGACAGGCGCTCCGTGGAGCCCACCCCATCGGGCCTGACAGACCCAGGCTAGAATGGGCAGCTCTGAAGGTGTGCTCATTCGCTATCCAGGGTCACACAGCCATCTCGGCCAGGCCCAGGGACGTGCCTGGGTTTGTTTTTCTTTCTTTATAAAAAGTAAAATACTTTTTAATATTTTTATTGATTTCAGAGAGGAAGGGAAAGAGAGAGACAGAGAGACAGAGAAACATCAATGATGAGAGGGAATCATGGATTGGCCACCTCCTGTACACCCACCAGGGATCCAGCCCATAACCCGGGCTTGTGCCCTGACCGAGACTGGAACTAACCTCCCAGTTCATAGGTCGACGCTCAACCACTGAGCCACACCGGCCGGCCCTGAGTCCGTTTTTGAAAGGACAGATCACTGAGCGCCTGGCCTTGCCCCTGCCTGCCAGAGCCGACACGGATCCCCACACCGAGCGGCTCCCGGGCCTTCCCCTGCAGGAAAACAGCATCGCGCTGCCATTCCAGTCCCCCCGCGCCTCCTAACGTGAGGCTCCAGCTCAAGATCAAGGGTGCTGCTTGGCCTCGGGTCCACTCTGCCACAAGGAGGCCACCTTCTCCTGTGAGCTCCTGCGTCGGGCCGTTGGTTGTTCCTTCATTGGAAGAAAGAAAACCGGGGAGGGGGACAAAGGCCCTCCGGGAGCAGGTAGGCCCGCCCCTGAACGAGGCAGGAGCTGAGGTCCCCGTGATGCAGGAAGATGAGCTATTACTGCTGAGGGCCGGCTGTGTCAGCACGTCGCCTGGCGCATGCTTGTCGCTGTCTTTCTTTTGCCGAACATCGTCGTCCGGCGTCTCCGTACACAGGCCTGTGTGCCGTCAGCTCAGGCACAGCGGAGAGGCAGGCTCTCCTTAGGCGGCTAGGATTCCCGCCGTCAGAAAACAGAGCCAAGAGCCACTCGGAAGTCCTCCACGGATTGGAGCTACCCTCCTGTTTCTGACAAAAACTTCCAGAAAGATTAGTTTGTTCCTTCTCCCCTTATGAACTAGTCAGGATGTGGGTTTTGTCCCTCCCCCACTCCTCAGACCTCGCCCGCCACCCGCGAGCCCATCCGGAGCCTCTCGGTCCTTGTGTGGCGGGTCATCTCACCAACGCCGAGGCCCGCGGTCACCCACTTGTATCTGAGCGTTTCTCTTGTGAAGACTCTGAGGCCCTGGCCGGTGTGGCCCAGTGGATAGAGCGTCGGCTTACGGCCTGAAGGGTCCTGGGTTCGATTCTAGTCAAGGGCACGCACCTCAGTTGCAGGCTCTGTCCCCGGCCCTGGTTGGGGCACATGTGGGAGGCAACCAACCAATGTGTCTCTCTTACGTCAATGTTTCTCTCTCTGTCTCTCCCTCTTCCTTCCACTCTCTCCAAAAATCAATGGAAACATACCCTTGGGGGAGGATTAACAACAAAAAAGAAGGCAGAAAAGGAAGAAAAAAAAAAGACGATGAGAGCATCGCATTTTCCAAAGTTGCTTCCTCCCTCATGAAAGGGCTTCTTGCAACATCAGAAAGCCGTCCACCGGCATGTCCCAGGTGTCTGTCCCTGACCTTCTGTTCTTCTGTCTGTTACCCCTCCCACGGGTGCTCTCATCCATTGCCACACCCGTGTCCTTTCAAATGAACCCCAAACCCCTGCCCTGGCCTCGACCTCCCTCCCCAGAGGGAGACTTCACTTCACTTGTTGGCACGGTGTCCTCACGTGGCCTTCGAGAACGTAGTTACCCTTCCAGCTCCAGCTTCTGGTCCCTGGCAGTCAGCCTCGGTGTGTCATCTGCCTGTTGCAATAGTGTTGCCGGCTCTACTTCCTCCACTTGCCTTTAAATTTCACGCTCACCGGTTCCTACCTTCACCGAACGGCCTGCTGCACGTCTGCGTGCCTTTCCAGCTCTCCAGATGGTTTCACCTGGTCGCTTCGTGCCTCACTTGCTAGTCGGCAGACGTGAAGTCCCCGGGATGATGGGGTTCTTAAAGTCAGAGGAATCAAATAGCTGCTCCTTGCATCACCGTCAGAAACGAGACAGCAGCCTTGTTTACCTACACGCGTCCTTGCTTTTCTATCTGCTTCTGGAACACGCGTGTTAAATGGTGAATCGGGGTGGCTTTCGGTTCTTTAGATGACAAGCAAGGCCACCTCCACGGGCTCTCACTCTTCTAGCCGATGGACGAAGGGCCACGTGGACAATATATTTATCCGGGAGGGAGGGGGGGTCAGACTGGGTAGAAATGGGCCCCTGTGGAGCCAGCCAGGGCTGCGCGGCAGGACCGAGGTCACCGTGTGGGCGCTAAAGGGGCTGCTCCTCACAGCCGAGCCATCCATCGGCCATTGTCCTGGGACAGCCGAGGCCCTGGGCCGTCCGATCCTCCCTGCGCGACCAGCTGGCCCTGAGCACTGCGGGCTGTTACTAGCCTCCCACGTGTGACTCCGCCTGTATGCCACCCACTCAGGACCCCAGCTACAGGAGAAGTCCTGCAGGATAAGGTCACCCTTATGTAGCCTTTTGTTGGTTCCCCTCCAGTGTATTGCAAAGGAGATGATGGTTACTCTTTTTTTGTTGTTAATCCTCACCCCAGAATATGTTCCTATTGAATTTTAGGGAGAGTAGAAGAGAGAGGGAAAGACAGAGAGAAACATTGATGTGAGAGAGACACATCAATTGGTTGCCTCTTGCACGAGCCCCGACCAGGGCCCGGGCCAGGGAGGAGCCTGTAACTGAGCTACATGCCCTTGACTGGAATGGAACCCGGGACCCTTTGGTCCACAGGCTGATGCTCTATCCACTGGGCCACACCGGCCAGGGTGAATGGTTACCCTTGATTTCCAAATACAATAATCTGCCTAAGGCCCTTTATCCCCTTGCCCATACATACGTTAGGCAGTTGGGTTTACTCCTCCTCCAGCAAATATATAGTTTCAATCCAAGTATACCATTTTAGTTGATTATTTTGTTGTTGTTGTTAATCCTCACCCGAGGATATTTTTCCATTGATTTTGAAAGAGAGTGGAAGGAGGGGGAGAGACAGAGAGAAATATCGATGTGAGAGACACATTGATTGGTTGCCTCCCATACACGCCCCAGACTGGTGGGGCTGGGATCGAGCCTGCAGCTGAGGTCCATGCCCTTGACCAGAATCAAACCCGGGACCCTTCAGTCCTCAGGCCGAACCTCTAACCGCTGAGCAACCTGGTAGGCACCAAATCTGCCGGGGCCCAACCCCAGCAGATCCAGGGGTCCCCAAAGGTGTGGATGGAGTCGGCGAAGAAGGAATGACACAGAGACAGCGTTCAGTTGATCAGCAGCCTAGCCAGGATCTCTAGCCAGGATCTCCAGCGAAGTTCTGGTCTGGATCTCCAGAGAAGTTCTGCTGTTTATTGTTTTGTTACATCCGTATTTATACCAGTTGATTTTAATCCTGTCAATTTCTATTACAAAGGTTAGGGCGTTTCTTATCTCCATTCCAGGGAGTAAAGATTATGTAGCTTAAGCATGATTGTTTGTAGTGATTAACTGCCCGCCTGGCACTTAGTTAAGGAATTTCATCCCCTCCCTGACTTCAGGGAAAAATTCCTACCTGGGGAAACAACCTTTCTCGGAGAGGTGACCTTGGTTAAAACACACAGCGCTAAGGGGAGCAAACATATTAAGAACAGTATGCTATATACGCCAGGTCCCTTGAAACATATGCTGTGCAGATGTTTCTTTCCTGCAGCGACTGTGTCAAGCAGCAAGGATGGACAGGCTTCCGGCACAAATCTATCATTTTAAACCTTTAGGTTTACTGTAGTCACGAAGCAAAGATCTTCATGGTGCCACGTGACAGTAAGAAAAGTTACACTCCTTGTGTGATTCCTGAGCTCATGCAAACAGTTCTTGTCATATTCACTTGCAAATGCTATGAACCGAGACTCGGAGAAGTGATTTGTCTAAGCTCACAGAACTAACCAGTGGGGGTGGGGACATGGGAACTGGATCGGGAGAAACGGGCTTTCCCTCCTGGCCTGCCCTGACCAGGCATGGACTCTCTCAACACCTACAGGGGGCCCACAGAAAATCCCCCAAACCATCGATTCCCTTCGATGAAGTAAAATAGAAAAAGGCAGCTGTTACGATAACCGGAACATGAAAAAACAGGCTGTGATAAACTCTGAAAACTCGAAATAATTCCGTGATACCACTCCATGAACATTCTGTGCTAGTTGAATCAGTAATATGTTTAATAGACAGAACAGATAGATATTTTTTTTAAAAGATACAGAAAAGCATTGTTTGACAAAACACCAGTGTCCTAAAAATTGTTTCAATAATAATATAGTATTAAGTAGACCAGCTGGCCCAATGCTTTTTGAATATCAGCAGATATAGTTTTCATTTCCTCTAAGTGAGAGGGCTCTTGGCTTGGTCAGCATCGTCCAACAGAATTAGGAAGTTCATGGTCCAACAGAAGCCTAAAACGGACCACATTTGTGGTTTTTAATTTCCTAGCAGTCACATTAAAAAATGCTTTGAAAAGTCAAGAGTAATTTTAAGAATTTACTTTGACAGATTATATCCAAAAGATTACTATCTCGGCTGACATACATCAGCATAAAAATATCAATGAGACATTGTGCATCCCTTTTCTTTACAAAGTTTTCTAAATGTGCAGCATTTCTGGGCCCTTCTGTTTGGGTTTTGTTTTAGCTACATTCTGACATCTGGTTAACCTAGATGGTTTCGTAAGTGAATTAAAAGCCAAGAGAGCATAAATAATCAATTCCTGCCCCGTGTCCAACTCACTTACTCCGTTCCTATGCCGTAATTTCCTCTTCTGTCCGTTAGGGTTAAACAGGCGTTCTCTAAAGATAACAGCATTAGACCCGCTAAACGGCGCCAAGGAAGCACCAAAGAGCTGCCCAGTGTAAGGGGAAAATCCCGAATTTTCCTCTTGCGTTTAGAGTTCTGACAGATGTGAAGAAGTGCAAAATAAGAACTCGTTAGCCTGGCTCTGTGGCTCTGCGGGCTGAACGGGCCCCGTGCACCAGGAGGTCCCCGGTTCCATTCCCGTCTGGGCACATGCTCTGGCTTCCAGCCCCCCAGTGGGGGGTGTGCAGGAGGCAGACGGTGGTTGTTTCTCTCTCATCATCCATGTTTCTCTCTCCCTCCCCCTCCCTCTCTCTGTAAACTTCACTGGTCAGCCTCACCACTGTGTTAAAGAAACTCCCACAGCAGCCCAATCTCCCTCCTGCTCACGTGCGCGAGCGGAGCAGGGCGCTGCGGCATCCGATGCGTCACTGGGACCGAGGTGGCGATTCCTCGCCTCGCTATTCCTGTGGGCAGAGCTCTAAGGCTGCCTCTCAGGAGGACAGCGTGGTCTTCTCCTTCTCGCCGCCCCTGTGCCCCCTCCCGTGCCCTTGCCCCCAGGACTGACTCAGCTCTCCCCGGGGCTGGCTGAGAGTACGGACCCGCCATCAGAGGCCACAGGCCCAGATGCAGACCATCAGCCTTTGTTTTCCCCTAGAGGCTTGGTACCTGGGATCGATGGGCTGCACGTTGGCGAGATAGAAGCTTTCTGTCACAGGGGCTGTTAATATTCAGACAGCCTCTTCTGGCAGCCAACAGGGCTGCGAACGTCGCCCAGGAAAAAACAAAAAGCAAAAACAACCAACAATAAGAGAAGATAATTGCTGAATTTCATAGCCTTCTAAAATGGCTGCTAGGAACGGAGGAGTTAAGCATTGACTTTCGTTTCCTCTCTTGGGCAAATGTTTTTATTTTTAGAGAGGGAAAGAGAGAGGGATACTGATTTGTTGTTTCACTTATCTATGCACTCATCCGTTGATTCTTGTATGTGGCCTGACTGGGGATCGAACCCGCAACCTTGACATATCGGGATGACGCTCTAACCAACTGAGCCACCGGCCAGGGCAAGCAAACATGTTTTTTATGCAACTCAGGACCAAGGGCAAGTGTGTTTCTGAGTCTGTATGATCAGTATCGGCCACTACTGACATCAACACCTAAAAACATATTGAAATGTCAGAGCATCTCGTTTATAATCACCTCACCATGACTTGAATAATAACTGACCCCTCCCCTTGCAGCCAGCGGATTGGTTTCCATAGTAACACGAGTTAAAGGATGAGCACTTGCGCTACAGAATCCATCCGATTAGGGGAAGGACCGAGTTTTTCCTGAGCGTCGTGTTGGCCACTGGAGGACATGCCACTCACTACAATCAGCCGACATGTTCTTCTTGCACATGTAACACACCAGAGATGTACACACCTGCTCACTGTTTTGCATAGTGAACACACCAAAGATGTACACGCCTGCTCTGTTTTGCACACATGAACACACCAAACAATGAGCATCTGCTCATTGTTTTGCATACGTGAACACACCAAAGATGTGTGCATCTGCTCATTATTTAGCATACGTGAACACACCAAAGATGTATGCATCTGCTCACTGTTTTGCATACGTGAACACACCAAAGATGTATGCATCTGCTCATTGTTTTGCATACGTGAACACACCAAAGATGTGTGCGTCTGCTCATTGTTTTGCATACGTGAACACACCAAAGATGTTTGCATCTGCTCATTGTTTTGCATACGTGAACATACCAAAGATGTGTGCGTCTGCTCATTGTTTTGCATACGTGAACACACCAAAGATGTGTGCGTCTGCTCATTGTTTTGCATACGTGAACACACCAAAGATGTATGCATCTGCTCATTGTTTTGCATACGTGAACACACCAAAGATGTATGCATCTGCTCACTGTTTTGTTTTGTTTTTAGCTGACATTTTCTGTTTGTATTTAAGTTCCTATGTTGTCCTAATTGTGGCCAATAAAATTTAAAGTCATTTGACAATTTCAGATAGCAACATAAAACACATATTGGCACTGCGTTGAACCTTAAATTCCTTCTTTAAAGTACTAACTACATAGTAAAAATTTGCTCCATTTTACTTTTTTATGACTATATTCACAAGTTTTGATTTTGTTTCTCTCACATCGATGTTTCTCTCTCTCTCTCTCTCTCTCTCTCTCTCTCAAATAAAATAAAAATAAAAAAGAACACGTCTTCCTCAGTGTTCCCCTGCTAACAATATTGATCTAAAAAGTAAATTCAGATAAAACAAGAGCATTGAATGCTTAGACACCAGGTCACTGGAATGCCTGAGCTCGGGGTTCCTAAATGATGAATGTATTACATAAGAATTAGCTATTAGTAGATTTCGGGCAAGTAAAATTAAATAACCATTGCCCTTAAATTCTACTTTTTTAAGAAACAGCCTTCAAAAGATTACTGAAGCGTCGTGAAGTGTTGAACCCCGTAGGCTGTAAACACACATACACACGTGTGAGGCGCGTTCGCGGACCGGTCTCCGTTGTGTTTCAGATGTACATCACCAGCACCATCAAAGCCAAGGGCACGCGCCTCGCAAAGCCCGTCCTGTGCCTGGGCCTCCTGTGCTTGGCCTTCCTCACCGGCCTCAACAGAGTAGCCGAGCACCGGAACCACTGGTCGGACGTCATAGCCGGCTTCCTGGTGGGGACATCGATAGCCGTGTTCCTGGTGAGTACAGATAGGTGCAGAGTTACCGAGAGAGCGCGGGGGTTTGTCTGATTGTTGTTAATCCTCCCTTGAGGATGTTTTCCCATTGATTTTTTATTTTTATTATTTTTTTTAAATATATTTCTTTATTGATTTCAGAGAGGAAGGAAGAGGGAGAGAGAGATAGAAACATCAATGATGAGAGAGAATCATTGATTGGCTGCCTCCTGCACGCCCCCTACTGGGGATCCAGCCCGAAACCTGGGCATGTGCCCTTGGCCGGAATGGAACCTGGGACCCTTCAGTCCACAGGCTGATGCTCTATCCACTGAGCCAAACTGGTTAGGGCAAAAAATATATTTTATTGATTTTTTACAGAGAGCAATGGAGAGTGATAGAGTTAGAAACATCGATGAGAGAGAAATATCGATTAGCTGCCTCCTGCACACTCCCTACTGGGTATGTGCCCACAAGCAAGGTACATGCCCTTGACCGGAATCGAACCTGGGACCCTTGAGTCCGCAGGCCAGTGCTCTATCCACTGAGCCAAACCAGTTAGGGCCCATTGATTTTTTAGAGAGAGTGGAGGGAGAGGGAGAGACAGAGAGAAACATTGATGTGAGAGGGACACATCAACAGGTTGCCTCCCTCACGCACCCTGACCAGGGCTGGGGATGGAGCCTGCCACTAGGGTAGGTGCCCCTGTGCCTCAGCGTAGCAGCCTCCACGAGCACCTGTCACAGCCACAGTCTCCCCACCCGGTGACCCTGCCTAGTGACAGGGCCTGGGTCCCTCCGGTAACCAAAAACCCCTGTTCCCAAGGCCAGGTGCCCCCCAGCAGCTTTCGGGGGGGGGGGGCAGCTAGAGAGCACCCGCGGGGACTGGCCATGGCCTGAGCATCGCTCCTCATTGGGAATCTCCCTGGAGCGCTTCGTAGCTTCCAGCTGTTGGGAAATGGACTTGCCCGGCTTCGGGGTTGACTGGTCATCGGAAGTAGGAGTAGCTGACATTTCGCTCAGATGGAAAGTGGGGCCGACTATCAATCACAACCTATTTCCGCGGCGATGCACTGTAAGGCGCCCTTTCGTTCCCGGTCGGTTTCCGTTAACTTGGCCCTCACAGTCACCTCTGCTCCCTCCCTCCTTCACCAGGGAACACCCCGCATGCAAGCCAGCCCGGTTGCCTGAGCCCAGCGGACAGACATGCCAGGCATGTTAAAGAGGCTGCCCTCTGGGGCGCCCTGTGTGAAGGGGTGGCCCTGTCCCCGTCCCCGGCCTGCACCCTGCGCTGCTGTTCCTCCCCATGTCACCCCTCTGACTCCCCAGCCCCGGGGAGACGGATCCCTCCTGCCCCCCGAGAGACCCAGCAGCCTCATGGAAGCTGGGGTCCCCAAGTCCCGGGGAGACGGATCCCTCCTGCCCCCCGAGAGACCCAGCAGCCTCATGGAAGCTGGGGTCCCCAAGTCCCGGGGAGACGGATCCCTCCTGCCCCCCGAGAGACCCAGCAGACTCATGGAAGCTGGGGTCCGGCTTCACTCTCCACAGTGGAAGCCGGTTCACAGTGAACAAAACAAAACAAGACAAGAGGCATCTCCCAGATATCCTAGGACATCACCCAGGCCAGCCAGAGCCCGAAGCCTGACCCTCAGTGCGAGGCCCTGTCGTCTCTGGGCTACACCCCACCCCCCCAGCACAGGCCCGGCTCCCCTCGGGGGATAAAGGTCTCCCTCAGGAGCAGCCCCCGGAGCTGCTGCGGAAACACCGAGAACACAGGGGACACGATCAGAGACAACAGCCTGGCTCCCTGAGAGGCCGATGCGGAAGGCGCACGGGCCATTGAAGGGGGTTTCTGAGGAGTGCTCTGGTGACCTTGAAGCAAGGGGACGTAATTAGCATTTAAATTAAGTTGTAGGTTAGCCACGCTGGGAAAGGTCAGCTTGCTATGCATTTTTATTAGGTTACAATGTTATTTTTGGATTCATTTGCGCATGGACTGTTAACTAATTTAATGAACATTTTGGAATCAGAAAATTGTCATGATTAACTGAGCTACGTATTTTTAAAAAATATATTTTTATTGATTTCAGAGAGGAAGGGAGAGGGAGAGAGAGAGAGAGAGAGAGAAACATCCATGATGAGAGAGACTCATCGATCGGCTGCCTCCCGCATGCCCCACCCTGGGGATGGAGCCCGCAACCCAGGCCTGTGCCCTGAGCAGGAATCGAACCGTGACCTCCTGGTTCATAGGTCGATGCTCAACCACTGACCCTGTACCCCAGGCCCGAGCTAATATTAATTGATGGATTTTCTTGAACACACACGCACCAGAGTAACTATTTCAAATTTATACAAGATAAGTCTGGTGTGAAGTCACATGCACTTAATATTTAAGTAACTTTAATACGTTATTCTTAGGGTTAGGTTTATGGAGCTACTCTGGGGTCATTGTCAAGGGGTCTGGCTTGGCTTTAACCGCAGTTTTTTCTGAAATGCCAGGTGGTGTGCGTGGTGAGTAACTTCAGGGGACGACACCCCGAGAGCGAGCACGCCCGCCCGGCGGACCTGGCGCACGCGCCGATGATCAGCATCCCGCGGGTGGAGAGTCCGCTGGAAAAGGTAAGGTCTGTTCCGGGGACGCGAAGTTTAAATTCCGAGATGTGATCGTTACCGGCAGCGAATGAGCGACCAGTCCCCAGCGTCACCGCGGTCGCTTCCCGTTTACTGAAAGGGGCTCCCTGCGCCTCGGTGGCATTTAGCCACGATTCAGTCCCTGGCGACGCCCTGTGGGGAGGGAGGTCCCACCGCAAATGTCCTGGACCCACCAGCTGAGAAGCACGGAGGGCTCGGGCTGTGCCCTGTGCCGGAGCTCCGGGGAGGGGGACGCTGGGAAGGCAAGTGATGGGACGGCTGTGCTGGGATGGCGCGCTCTTCTCCTAAAACGTGGTCCGCTCTCCCACGCTCCGCGGCAGGCGGCCCGTGAGCAAGGCGGGGTCGACCTCCACTCGTGTGCCGGTTTTCTCAGTCAGTGCAGGACGTGTGTTTTCTTTCTGGGGTTTTCCCAGTAGCACTTCCTCTTCTCCAGCTCACTGTGTGGTAAGAGGACAGCGTGTGCTGCACAACATAGAAACATGTTCGTCGGCCCTTAGGTGGTCGGCAAAGCCGCGGGCAGCAGCAGGCGGCGGGAGGTGCGTTTCGGGGCAGCCACGGCAGGGTCACCTGAACCAGCTCAGTGGCTCGCCGTGGAAAAGGACCAGCTGCTAGCCAGGGGCACCGAGAAAACTACCCCACCGCCCCCAAGAATCACGCTGCCCTTTCACCTCCTCCCCTTTCACCCTCTGCCCTCCCACCCACTGCATTTTCCTGTCTTCCCTTCAGAGGGTGCTCTTGGCCAGAACTAATGGCAAGGGGTACCTGACATTCACCCAGGACCCTTGGGGGTCAGGCTGCGGTCACAGCAGCAGCAAAGCGCTGGGCACGCGTGGTCTTTCTCTCTTGCCCCCACTCGTCCTCCCTTTAAGGTGACTTTCAGTTCTGCACAGGCGAGCACCTGTCAAGAACGCAGGCATGTGCCTCATTGATTTCAATGGATGCCGCACAGAAAATCTACGGGAAGGGACATTCTCTCGTCCCAAAAATATTTAAAAATAAATATAAGTCATGGATGGGATTTGATAGAACATGAAATAGTTCCAATCGATGAAGAGAATTAATATCTACAGAGTTTTATTGGGCAATTAGAACAGGCCACTGTAGCCACGCCTGGCTACTTTGGGATAACGCTGAGAGGTAAATCAGTGGTATAGGAAATACCACTTTTTGAGAAAACAATTTTTTTCTTGGGTTTAGGTGATCAAACTGAAACAAAGGGAAGTCCCCCTTGCCAATGACAAGACAGGGGAGCTAATGCTAGGAATGATTTGCAAATTGCAGCCTTGTAGTTCTGGTCAGGGGCTCTGTACCAACCTGACTACCCAAGATGCTGTGCGTGTAAGAGCACCCCGTGACTGTGAGCGGTGCCACCTGAATGCACGTGGTGAGCAGTGAGGATGGCTCCCCAAAGCTGGAGATGCCATGAGTGCATGCAGTCACGGGTGGAAATTACCATGTTTCGTTCCCACGGCCATCATGGAGGGAAATGACAGGGCTAGGAACATTCTAAGGGGACTCGCATTGACTCAGAGAAGCAAACGCATGGACTGTTTTGAAGGTTAGAACATCATAGGGGTCAAGGTGAAACCTGAGCTGAAGGTTCGGCAGAGTGAGGAGTTGGGGCGTGGAGAGCCAGGCTTTGTAGGTGCCGGCAGTTCTGGGTTGGAAGGTTGGCTTGGCTACATAATGACTAAGTAGAATCAGACGAATTCCTTCTTTTCTCCTTACCTGAAAAAAATGGATACGATTATGGTTCCTTTATAGGGTAATTAGAGGCCCGGTGCATGAAATTCGTGCGTGGGTAGGGTCCCTAGGCCTGACCAGCAATCAGGGCTGATCGGGGCCTTCCAGCTGCCGGTCAGGGCCTTCCTTCATTCCGCGCCACCCCCTGGTGGTCAGCGCACATCATAGCGAGAAATCAAACTCCTGGTCTCCCGGTTGAACTCCTTTGCACATTAGCCTTTTATATATATAGATTGTTTGAAATGACTGATCATAAATAAACTTCTTGGCACACAGTTGGTGCTTAAATCAAGGTAGCTCCCTCCTGCAAAACTAATGATTCCCTTAATAGGATTTTCATTGTGTTTCGGACTAGGATACCCCATAGACCTATTTCATGGACTTGAAGGTTTATGCAGATTGTCTATGCCATACATAGAGCATATGGCAGGAAATCTTATAGCAAAAATTGTTGCCTAGATTAGTGTCATAGCAACAGCAAAACAACCCTGTGGTTCCTTGCCAAGACAGACATGATTACCCATGACTTTGCTCTCTGGGATAAGTCCCTTTGAGGTTTCAGCATGTTGGCACGAACATGTGTGGGAATCCACTTAAGATGTGTTTGCTTTTCTAGGATGCAAATCTTTGTTTTACAGAGCTGCCGACTGTACGTAAATGTTCCATGGGAGCTTGTCAAAACAACTTTATTAGGGATCAGATGTTGGAATAGTTAGTGGAGCTAAGTCTCTTTCCTCAGCCTGAGCTTCGAGCACTTACGAAAGGTGTTCACAGGCCATCAACGCTCGCGTGCTGGGCTTGGCTCTCACTTGTCTCATTTCATTTCGCTGTAAAGAGTCCATTGAAAAGGGGAGTTAAACATCCCAATGAGCGTCAGCACTCAGGTTAGGAGGACGTGCCCATGGCTGTTGTCTGCCGTGTCGTTTTCCCTGTGTGTGCTCACCCCTGGTCAGTATTTATTTCTCCGCCCTGTCTATACATTACAATACCCTCTGCAAAACACGAAAAGCCAGGCTTTTTCCAACGTTATCTAACAGGCCTTTATGAAAGTGTCTTTTCAGTACGTTACCTTTGAGCACAAACCATCTTTCTCATCTCTTTGGAGGGAATAAATACCGGGTTGCTGGCTGCACCTTCGGGTTCTCGGGCCCCTGCAGCCATCGGTCAGGGAGGCGACCAAAGGATGCGGGAGGAAGTCGCTGACAGTGCACACCCGCCAGGGACACGTGGAGACTCCCCCCACCTTCCTCGCTCCCTCTGCTCCCGCACGCACAGTCCCAGGGACGCTTCCCCGTCGGTCCGGCTGCCACAGCGCGCTGAACGGTTCTGACCCAGTGGGCCTGGGGGTCTGGTTGGCACCAGGCAGCACTGGTGATTTGGGTTCAGAGCCAACTGCCGCCAGGGCCCAGGGCCTGCAGAGCTGAGACAGTGGGTCTGAACGTCGGCTGCGCGTTACAGCTGCCTGGGGAGTCTTTGTGAATCCCAGGGCCCGGCCGCCTTCACACCAATTAAGTCCAAGTCCCAGGAGAAGCGTCCGTGTCTTGGTAAAGCTCCCGGTGGGTCGGCAAGCAGCCAGGTTGGGGGCCCAGGGCTCCTTTCCCCAGGGAACGGGGGTCCGAGGTCAAGGCCCAGCGGTAAGTCATTCATTTAATGACGGGGCCGCGACTCCTCATCCCAAACCCTGGGGCCAGAGGCTCCTCAGGACTCAGATGCCCCATAGTTCGAGGCGAATGCTGTGTGTTCTGTGAGGAGCAGGACGGGAAGCAGCGCTGGGCATCAGAGCAGACAGACAGGCAGGCAGTCCCATGGCCTTCCATCCACCCAGCTCCGTTCAGCCCCCAGATGGGTTTGTAGCAACCATATAAGACATACTTGGGTGTGAAAGTGTGTCCACTAGATCTGTAAACTTGCAGAATTGTAACATTCCAACCAATTATTTTTTTAAAAATCTCCATGGTTTTATCTATTTATTATCTAATATTTTGTTTCTTTGGCTATATACATATATATATTCGATTTCAGAGAGGAAGAGAGAGATAGAAACATCAATGATGAGAGAGAATCATGGATCGGCTGCCTCCTGCACGCCCCATACTGGGGAGTCAAGCCCACAACCCGGGCACGTGCCCGGACAGGGAATGGAACCGGGACCTCTTGGTTCCTAGATCAATGCTCAACCACTGAGCCCCAGTGGTCAGGCTGTTTCTGTGGCTTTGACTGACAACTATAATGAGATGTTTGCAAAGACCAGGACCTTTGTGTGTGTATATATATATATATATAATCTCATTTGCTCTTAATTTTAAAAATCCGTGTAAATGGTCTTCTTCCCATTGCCCGGATGTGAGAGCCAGGTCTCTGAGGGGCTGCGTTGCTTGTGAACACTCTGTGGTTAGGGGCCCACATGCAAACACGCTGAAGCCCACCTGCCACCCAGCTGAGGACTGAGTCCTTGATGGAAGACATTGACACACAGATCCCAGCTTCTGTTTAGACCCCAAACCTACGCCGACGGGCTGACAGCCTCCCGTTCCAACGCAAAGGCTGCTCCTGGGCCTCTGGCAGGGAAGGAACCTGGGGCCGTATCTAACCTCAGCCTTGGGCCTAACACGGGAGCAGCCGGGAGCGGCGGACGCGGCCTCTGCCCGGCTGAGTGAGCCGACACCGACGGCACTGAAGTAACGGCTGTGGTACCTTTCCTAGGTGTCCCGAGGCCAACCTGCCGAGGGCGGCGAGGAGCACGCGCAGGGGCGGCCCCTGAAGGACTGCCTCGCTCGGCTCTTCGGCTGGGTGCTGGGGATGAGCCGCCGCGAACACCTCCGATTAAGGCAATAAACGTAGGTGCGCCGAGCGCACTGGTGTTGGAGCTGAGCTGCAAAGCTCCGGCAAATACAGGAAACGCGTCCCTCTGGGCAGGGCCACGGCTCCCAAAGGGGTCTGGGTCCTCGGTCACTGTTGTCATTTATCTTCCAAACAGGCTTCTTTTTTCCACTGCGTTTGCACGCACGAGCAGAGCTTAGCATCCCTCCACCCAACAGCCCTTGCTCGAATGGCTCTTCTGGTTTTGTGTGTGATATATATATATTGTTGATTTCAGAGAGGAAGGGAGGGGAGAGAGAGATAGAAACATCAATGATGAGAGAGAATCATTGACCGGCTGCCTCCTGCACGCCCCCCACTGGGGATCGAGCCTGCAACCTGGGCCTGGGCCCTGACTGGGAATC